CCCCGCCTCTCCCCCCCCCCCCCCATCCCCCCACCCCGCCATTCCCCCATCTATTCCCCATCCCGCTATTCCCCCATCTATTCCCCATCCCGCTATTCCCCATCCCACTATTCCCCCATCCCGCTATTCCCCCATCTATTCCCCATCCCGCCATTCCCCATCCCGCTATTCCCCACTCCTCCCATCCCACTCCCAAAATCCCCCCAGAGCTGCTGGCCCACCTTGTCCTGGTCGGACTCATAGACGAGGTGCCGGGCCTCAGCCTCGGCGTGGTCGTAGTCCGAGGGCAGAATCCAATCCTTGGTCTCCTCCTTGTCCATCTTCCCATCCCGGTTCTTGTCCCGGAATTCTACAAACTGTTCCCGCTCCGTCTTCACCCACTCGGGCTCATCAGCGTCGCCATCCTGGCTGTACATGTCACCTGTGGGGAGAGCAGAATCACAGCCCCGTCCCAAGGATTGACCCAAAACCCTGAGTTCCCTAAATCCGTCCCCAAAATCCCAAAGCACCACCTGGGCCATGATTTCACCCGAAAATCCTGGACGGAGTGGGGGCAGGTGGAAGTTTGAGAGAGGAGAACGTTCTGGGAGGGGAGGACATGGTGGCAGTGGCTCCCCCTGGACAGGGACAGTGTGGGGATATGGCCAGGACACGCAGCAGCAGCAGCAGCAGCAGCGTCTCACCAATGTACTCCTCCAGGTCAATGAAACCATCGCCGTTCTTGTCAATGTCCTCCATGGTTTCCTGCAAGAAGATGCGGGTGTGAGCCAGGCCCGGAGCAATTCCTGCCCCTCGGTGACCACCGGCATCCAGAGCTTCCCGAAACGCCTCTGTGCTGGCCCCACCTGCACAACGATGTCCTTCATGTAGTCATACTCCTCGGGGTGCAGGAAGGCTGTGAACTCCTCCTTGGTGGCCGCCAGGTCCCCATCCTTGTCTGCCATCTTGAAGCGCCGCTCGTCCCGCACCATCATCTGTTTGTAGTTGAAGCCATCGTCAGGGTCTGGGTCGTCTGCGAGGGAGCACAGGGAGCACTCGGGTCAGCTCAGGCAGGGCAAGGACCGTGGCAACCACCAACACAACCTCAACCCAACTCAACATTCTCAATTCAACCTCAGCTCAAACTCAACCTCCTCTACTGAACCTCAACTTCAACCTCAATCTCCCTCAACCCAACCTCAACCTCCTCCACAAAACCTCCTGAACACAACCTTCTCATCCTCAACTTCCTCAACACAACCTCAACATCGTCCCAGCCTCAAATTTCTCCATTTCCTCCCTCTCAGCACAATCTCCCAACGCTTTGCCAACAAAAGCTCAGTTGCAGCCAGCACTTCTCTCCCGTGCCCACTCCCAGGAGGAGCTGCAGAAGCCCTGGGATCATGACATTCCCAGGGAGAGGCCCCGTAAGACAGGGCTCAGGGGTTTGGCCGGCACGGCCAGAGGCTCAACCTGAACTATTTTGGGAGGGGAATGTGTAAGGGGATCTCACTCGCTGCCGGGGCGGTGGCAGGGCCAGGAGGCATCGGCCGGGTGGGGCACGTGTGGCCACTTGGCACAGCCCAGCAGCAGCAGGAGTGCCAGGACACAGGGCCAGCAGTGGCCAGCAGTGGCCAGCAGTGGCCAGCAGCCCATGGAGAGCGTGGATCCTGCGGGACACTGCCGTGCTCTGCTGAAGTTAAACCAGAGGGTCCCTGTGTCCCTGGTCTGTTCCTGGGACAAAAGGCAGGCATTCCGGAGCCCTGACCAAGGGGCTTGGGATCAAGGAGCTCTGGAACATCCATTAAATACCCAAAGATTTTGACTTTAAGGCAGCTCTAGGGCAGAATGAACCCCAAATTCCCCATTCTGTTCCCAAGGTTTTGCCTTGAGAAGCAGCACAGCCTCAAACAAGGAAACCTTCGGGACTCATTAACAGACAATTCCTTAATTGCTGTTGGGCTAATTAATGGGTTTGATGGGGGAGTGGTGGTGGGGCCAAGTGGGTTAAAAAGGGTTAAACCCTCCCAAAGCTCCCAAAATCACTTCCAGCCTTGGTCCCTGGGCTGGGAGAGCTCTGGGGGAGCAGAGGGAGGGGAAGGAGACAGAGCCAGGGCATTGCTCAGAGCATGGCAGCAAAGCCACAAACTCAACCCAACAGCTCGTCTGCTGGGACAGGCATTCCTGGTCTGGGGTCCCACCGTGGGATTGAGCAATTAGCAAAAACAGGAGTGATGATGATGATGATAGTAATCTGATTTTGAA